GAGCAGGGAGCCCGATGCGGGGCTCGATCCCAGGACCCTGGGATCATGACCTGAGCCGAAGGCAGACGCTTAACGACTGAGCCACCCAGGAGCCCCTATTATTATAATTATTATGGCCATCCCAGTGGGTGTGAAGTAGTCTCTCACTGTGTGCTTTTTTTTTTAAGATTTTATTTATTTATTTTTGTGAGAGAGAGAGAGGAGTTCTTTATATATTCTGGATACTGGGTCCTTTTCAGATAGAGGATTTGCAAATATTTTACCCCATTCTGTATGTTGTCTTTTACCTGTGTGTGTTTTTTTTAAGATTTTATTTATTTGTCAGAGAGAGAGAGAGAGCACAAGCAGGGGGAACGGCAGGCAGAGGGAGAAGCAGACTCCCCTCTGAGCAGGGAGCCCGATGCGGGGCTCGTTCCCAGGACCCTGGGATCATGACCTGAGCTGAAGGTAGACGCTTAACCGACTGAGCTACCCAGGCGTCCCTCTTTTACCTGTCTTGATAATGTCCTTTGACACACAAAAGTTTTTAATTTTTATGAAGTCTGGGTTAGCTGTGTTGTTACAGCTTTTGCTTCTGGCATCATATATAAGAAACGATTGCTAAATCCAAGGTCATTAAGTTTGCCCCTGTGTTTTCTCCCAGTGCTTTAGTTTTAGCTCTTATGTTTGGGTGGCTGATCCATGTTGAGTTCATTTTTGTATATGGAGGGAGGTGTCGGGGGCCAGCTTCTTTCTTTTCCACGTGATTATCTGGTCATCCAGCACCATTTGTTGAAAAGACTGTTCTTTCCCCCTTGAATGGCTTTGGCATTCTCGTCCAAAGTCAGTTGGCCGTAGATGTTTGTGTTTATTTCTGGATTCTCAGATCTGTTCTGTTGTCTGTGTGTCAACACCACACTGTTTTGATTACTCTAGCTTTGTAGTAAGAATCAGATCAGAACACCCGCAAGTAGATAGAAGTGGGAGTACTCTCCCTGTGAGTCCTCTACTGACACCAAGTGGGAAGTGGCCTTGTTACCACCGGGCTGGTGGGGCTCCTGACCCCACGAGGCCTCCCCTGACACCACCTCAGAGGGGAGAGGGAAAGGCACCTTTTACTGCCGAGTGGGGTTGGAAGTCCAGGGTTCATGCTGCACTGACCCTGAGGGGGTGGGGGATCATTACCGCTCGGTAGGGATGAAAGTCCCAGCTCCCTACTTGGCCTTCTCTGAAACCGCCCTATTGGAGGGTTTGGGGCTCATCATTATAGCCTGGCAAGTGAGGAAGGGTAGACCCCCCTACTTGACCTGTGCTTATGTCCGGAGTGGTGTAGCTGGCTTTTTCTGTGCGGTTGGCCGGAGAAGGGCAGTTACTTTTTTTTTTTTTTTTTTTTTGCGAGAGAGAGAATGAGAGACAGAGAGCATGAGAGGGAGGAGGGTCAGAGGGAGAAGCAGACTCCCTGC